GGGTTTCATTGCTGAGCCACAGCCATGTCTTTTTTAACTCCTCTTGGTTTCATGACTAAATGTGAGGCAAAACACTGATAGCAGAGTGTTCCTGGAGCTGGTCACTGATTTTTAATGAATCATTTATTTGAGGAATGTAACTTTTCTCCCTCGCAACCACACTGTCCACTGGCAGTCGTGGATCATCATCCATTTTCAGAGCCAGAGAAGTATTCTGTTGGGGGAGATCTCAGAGGGCTACCCAGTCTTTTTTTTTTTTCCTTTGTCTTGCCTTCCCCAAAGGTGTTTAACCTGCTCTTAAAAGTACATGTCTTGGTGATTTGCCACTCTTCTCTGGCAGACCTTTAACATTGCCTGTTCCTTTGCTAAACGGGCAGCCCATCACTTCTGTCTACCAACAGAGAAAAAATCCATTCCTTTTCTCTTTGCAGCAGCCTAATTTATATATTTGAAGTCCATTACCTGAAGACCCCACTTACTTCTTCCTTCATTGGATGAAGTGGCCCTGAAATACTCAATTTCATTCCAGATGAAGCAGCAGGTGGGATCTGAGCCCGTGCGGCAGTTTTGCAGTGGCTGCCTGATGCCCTCGCTGCTGCTTGTGCTCCGTGCTCCCCCAGAGCCGGGATGGCACTGGGAGACCACACACAGCACTGTACTGGGCAGGAGCCGTTCTGCCCACCCCCATTTCCTACGCACAGCCCAGGGTACCTGCTCAGGCAGACGAACGCGCGCAGGGCTTTTGGTTTCCAGTAGGAAAAGCTGCCTGGCAAATCTGGTCACAGCAATTCAGGATGACACAGGTCTGTGGTTCCCGATGGCTTTTTACAATGTGGAGGGAAAGGAAAGAAAAATGCTCTCCTTCCCCTTTGTAGAAAGAGGATGTGGCATCCGGGCTGGCAGCCCCCAGGTAAGAGCCAGGACAGCAGCCAGAGCCCAAAAGAAGAAGGTTTGCAACAAACATTGCTGCTCACTTCTTGCTAAAGTCTCACCACAGAGAGAGAAAAAAGTAATTATTGTGCTTCACAGGTGTACGGGTTTTGCTTGGGGGAACTGATGGGAAATGTAACCCACTTTTGGGTATAACAGTAGTAACAAACTCATAGTTACACTTTCGTTCTTGAGGTTGCTAATTTTGCATTAATAAATTAGCTGAGGAAACCAGATTTAAAAAATCAAATGCTGGCAAAGTTCCCACTAGCTCAAGGAAAAGCAGGGCTGAATTCTGCTCTGGTTTATCTTTTATTTCACTCACAAACCTGAGGCAAGTAGAAGGTTTAGGAGTGCTAACTGGGGATCAGCACAAGTCCCTAAATAATTTTATGATGACCTGCATTGTTCTGCATGTGGAAAATGGAAACAAACAAACAAACAGACAAACACCAAACAACAATGGTAAATGGGCCCTGATTCATGGATTCCTGCCACCTCAGATGTTTCCTACTTTGGCAGCCTATAAATATGGTTCCAGATGAAGGATCAGGGTGCACTTTACTGTGAATGTTTTTTTTTTCTGGAGCTGTTATTAAGCCCTCCAAGTGCTTTTACTTTCTGCAATTGCTAACACCCTAAGCCATACAGGCCAGGGTTTTGCCTTCTGGAGTGACATGGGCTTATGTATAGCAGCCCCCAGGACTGCTTTACTCTCCTAGCTGAGCCATTGCAACACCTCACAAGGAGTGGCAGCTGGACAGGAACATCAGAGACACAATGTGCCGCACCTCGGGGCTGTGGAGGCAACTACAGGCACCAAGGGCTGACACCGGCACCCAGGGACTCAGGCACTGGGTGCCCGAGCCACCCACCACTTCTCTTTGTCACCCTATATCCCCAGTCTCCACAGGATATGCAAGAGCAATGCTCCTGATATAGAGGCACTTAGATACGGTGAGCTAACCCTGTGTTTATGGAAGGTCTGGAGCAGATTCCTTCCACTCTTATAGCATATGCCTCAGAAGTGTCTTTGCCTACTGCAGAAATCTCCCTGTGCCCTATAATCTAGGGAGCAATAAAAAAAAATATCTAAAAAAGTGTGTCAACAGTGCATAGTCAGCAGCGCTTAAAATCAAAACAAAGTGAGAATAACAAGCTTCCTGCTCTGGAAAAATTCTTCATCTCAATTTCTCAAAATGCCATGGCAAAACATTATTATCTTGGCTCTTCTTATCTCTGGCGTGTGTCATTGAAATGGCCTGAATGAAGCTGCTATTTGTAGTGTATAGCTCATGCAAAACTTGTATCAATGAAGCCACTTAATTGCTCTTCTTTGGGATATTATGCAATTGGTTCTTCTGTAGTTGTTCTCCTTGTCAACACCAAGATCTCATGACTCACTGTCATGCGGGAGGCTTCTCCTTCCTGCCAGCCCCTGCCAGCCGGAATCTGCTCACTACAGGGGCTCTGCTTGCTCCTGCAGATGGGAGGACACCTCTTGTGTTTGTTGCCAACTTCAGGAATGCATCAGAAATGATTGTATTCAAATGAAGGTAGCAAGGCAAGGCCCTTTTCTCCTTTAAGAAACTCTGCAGGATGGAGGTAATGGTAGATAAGCTTCCTTATGTTATTCATTAATATTGAATTGTTTACCTCATAACTGTTTGGGAAGTATTGTCACGGCTTAATTTGGAGACTCTATAGCCAGTGTTGTGTGTCTAACAGATGCTAAAGTAGTGCCAGATAGTGCTGTCACCCAGAGAGGTGACTGAGAGCTGCCTGTTGCATCACTCAGAAATTCAGCCCTTACTGGAGGCTACCCCAGGCTTGAGCCATTCTGCCATGAAACCTGATTGAGGAACCCCGTCCACAAGTGTGTGGTTCCCTCCATCCCTCTCATTTAGTGTAAAGCGGGTACTTTAAGCTCTGCAAATGTAAAAAGTGTGATCCTAAATGAGGGCTTATATGAACAAACACCCCCAAAATAATTAAGATTAATTGTTAAACTGACTCCATTGTGAGATCCTCCTTCTACTAATGCACCACTAAAACTCAGGAGCCTACTTCAATTCATGCTGAAGGCATCTAGATTTGAAGGTATTTAACATGCTGGGGTTTGGAGGAAAAAACAGGAGAGGGACTGCTTTATATAGTCATTTTTGGTAGGTTTCTGTAGGTGCCTTCTGGTAGCTGTTAGGGATGGGATGTGAGCTGAGGGAAGTCTTTGAGGGCTCCATCCAGCATTTATCTTCATATTGCAGATTTCTCAGGTCCCTCTCTTTCTGAATCCTCTACTATCTTTCTCTTTTCACCTTCCTTCCAGCTCCAGGGCAGGCCCTCACCTCCTCCATAGGCACTGAGGCTGTGTAACACCTCCCACACCTCATCTGAAGTGCCCTGTATTGGGTTGTAAGCCATCTAGTGAAGGGTGTTTGCTTCAGGTGGACAGTTAAGCTGAAACACCACTGCTTTGGTTTATACTGAATTTTATAACAGATCATGATGTCTGCTCCATCATGGCTGTTTCCTAATGACTGGGGAGCTTCAGCAAGCCAAAGGGAATGGTAGTTTTACCTGTGACACTACAAGAGCAGCCTTCATCTCTTCTGTCAAGGTTTGCTGGCTTTGCCAGTTACCAGAGCTTATTCTGCTACACACCTACTGAAAAAAAAAAAAAAAAAAGCCCAGGAGCTGTTTTTTTATGGGGTTGACCCAATCCGTCAGTCCATGAACCACCTTTACAAGATGCTCATGATGCACACCCACCTCGGTGGCGGTAGAACAGAGCCCAGCAAAGCTCTCCGGGGTGCAGATGAAACGTTCCCTGTGAGACAAAAGGGTGATAACAGCAGCACCCAGGGAACTTTCCCCTTCCCGCCTACCGACACCACCTTCTCTCTTGAAAACACAAACAAGCCAACCCAATTTGCATTTTCATAGCTGGGAGTAAGTGACTGGCAGATTAATGAGCACTGCTATTTATATCTAAATAATCACAGACCTAAACAACTGCTTAAAGGCATCAGTATGAAAGGTAAGATTCTGGGCTATGATTTGAAGGAATTCAGGCAGTGCTTGTCATCAGAAGGAAGAAAACACATCACATCCGAACTACAAAAATGCTCTACTGTATTTTGGACAAACCGAAGGAAGCTGGAAGAAGAGAGATGTGCAAGCAGTATATACAGACTTGGCTTGCTTACCAGAGTATGCTGGCCTTAACAATATTCAGAGCAATTACTTTTGCTAAGCAGCTTCCTTTAACTACCTTACACACCATAACCCTGCTTGGGACTTTGGCAGCATGTCGTACTGCCCAGATCCATAGGGTACCTGGCATCGTTCCTCCCAGGCCAGAGTGTGTGAAGAGTCCTTGCAAGCCAGTTCTCCCCTCGCTGCCTTTGGCCGAGTTTCTGCAAAGTGAATCTCTTGGCTCAGTGCAGAGCTTGCGAGGCCACTTAAATCTCTCTGACCCCTTAATGAAGTTTTTAAAAGGGCTTCATAAATCTTCATCACTAATAATTGCTTAAAGCCCTGCAGGGTTTCTCTAGTGGCATTAACCACTAAAACAAGCAGACAGGCTCGGGTACACTTATTGCATTCATCTTCATTATTCCATGGGTTTTCCTTCTTTCTACTCTTTTACATAAGCTACAGCCAGGAAAGGGAGTGCAGGAGCGGGATATCTGGGTCAATACTGCCTGTCTGGCTTTGTGTAACTATCCACTACAACTACATCAGTCCTCTTCTTGGGAATGTTTTCTGCACAGGCAGCAACTGCTTGCTCATCATCTAGCCTTCTCTATTTAAATCATTGTATTGTTCCTCTTTGGGAAAGAATCTGATTTTGCCTTTCCTCTGAAAGCATGACTCAGGTCACACCCTGACGGCTCCAAACTGGATTAGTTACCTGCCTGCCCTTCGATTTCCTTTTCTGGGAATTTTGGCTGACTTTGGTAATGGATTTTGTAAGTAGCATGAGTCTTCTCTGAAATTACTGGCAGCTTGATGGATATGAAAAGGTTGCTAGGAATATACATTATTTTTTCAAAAAAATGTTTACGTACCATATATTGTGGTCTCCAGAGTGAGTGTGTAGATTCTGTATCCTCTGTATAGGTTGATGCTTCATATCTGGGAAATGAGGACAGAAAAGACATGAATGAGGTTCCAGAGAAAGAGAAAAATACTCCAGTACAGGTAAAGTCACTGAATTCAGTGAGACCCTATCCTCCCTGCATGATGGAAAAGAGTTTAGAAATGGCAGATAAACATGAATTAGCTGAACATGTAAGGAAGTTTATATCTCACCATAGTTTGAAGAAATGATTCCCAGGCTAATTCTGCAGACCATGATGAACTAAAGCTCCACAGATATCTTGAAGGATTGCAGGTCCTTGTGGACCAACCTGATCCAGCCAAGCTTGGACCACCCTATTCCATCACAAAATCACACTTTTGTGCGCCAGATGATTTTCAAGGGTCACTTTTCATTAGGTATTTTGTTTATGCCATCAAGATACAGTAGAGTCCCGTGGAAATTCTCTTTTATAACCATCACAACATTATTTTGTTTTAAATCTGTTTGCATTACAAGAAGGCCTACTAACCTCAAGGAGTGCTGGAACTGTGTGTGTGGAGCAAAAGAGAAGCAATATGCCTGTACAGGCAAACAAGGTCTTCTTATTGAAAAATTAGACACTGAAGTCTTAAATCTGCCTAAAGTACCAGTCATGAGTAGTAAAATCTCCTGGGTGCCTAGAACAGGTCAAGAATGGAAGGAAAAGTAATGTCTGATGACCATGCTGGAGGCTCAAAACCCAGACTGTGATGTGTAAGGTGAGTTACCTGAGGTATTAAAGGAGAGATTGAAATCTGCCTGAACTGGTATTTTTTCCATTGACTTTGGTGTGTTCTGGATGATGTCATGTTGTGACACTGTCACACATGAACAAGTCAGATGATTGCTTTTAGTATAGGGAACTGTAGGATGTGTTATATAATATCCTGTGTTGTCTGCTCTGACATTATTGGTGAATAATGTGTTAGGGACATACTTTTACCCTAATGGGGAGAAGATTAGATGTTATCTGACCTCCTGTATGCTAAAGGCTATGCATGCAAGTTTGCCCAAGTGCTTACATAGCTGTATCCAAAAGTTCAAATTAGGTTGTAGCTTCTGAGTCCTTGGGAGACAAAAATCACAGGCAGAGGACAGAAGAAATCAAAGGGTCACCATCACCTGAGGTCCATGAAATGGCAGGAAGTTGGAGAGATAAGAAAGGAGATTTCAGCAACTGACTCATGATCTGTGCTTTAAAGAAAAGATGGAAGAACCCCAAATCCCGGCCAAAGTGACCCAGCAGAAGTTCTTACTCAGTTCTGAATCACATATACAACTTGATGCTTATCCTGTAAGCAGAACACATAAGGCTGCGACCAGAGACCCGCCAGGGAACACAGCTGAGGCATGTAGGTGGCTGTTGCCCTATGGCCAAGGCATTATCCCCAACTGTATGCCTGCTCCTAATCCTGTCCATTTAAGCTTTTTACTGACTGAAACTTAACCAGATAAATAAACGCCTTTAAGGATATAGGCCTTGTGATTTGGCCGAGGCTTTGCCTATACTGTGTTTCTCCATGATATAACTCACGTGACTGCAAATCTCTAATGTAAACAAACCAGGATAGGGTAGGAAAGCAACACTGGTCCAGCATCTCTGTACTAGGGATTTGTGGCAGAGATGCTACATGACTACAAGAAAAGTCAGGAAAGGCAAAGTTTACATTCATACAATGAACTATCACATCATAGTCCCATGACATGATGCCTTTGGCAGCTAAGCTGCTGCAACCAGCTCCTGCCCAGATGCTTGTTCCCACCTCTGGCCTGCAGTTTGTCACCTCCTCGGTCATGCCAAAACAACTGCGTGTAGAGCACTGCTTAAATCAGAGCACCAAAGTGATGGAAGTTAAAAATAAACTGTTCACGGGAGGAGGAAAGGGAGAGTTATTTTTGATTGTAATCGTTTCAGTGGTCTTTCTTCCAGTGTGGTCCCACAAGGAATTTCATTAACACTACTGGGAGAAGACAGTGGATTGCTGTGCTGGCACCAGGGTGACTCCCTCAGGCAGAATAGTCCCTCCTGTCAGAGGGAGCGGATTTCTTAAGTCGGGATTGTACCAGGGCCAATGTGATGTAGAATTGCACCTTCCAACATGCATAATTATGCTTTCCCTACCTGGGTCAAAGTCAGACCCAGGTCTGCCAGGCTCTCCATTTGCTATTCTGTCTCCTAGATCCTCATAGCATTCATTTTTAAAAGTATTGTGTGCATGCCAGCATTATTATTAATAAAAACAAATAAAGAGACACTGAGTTTTTTTCCTGTTTTATAAACAAATACTCCTTATAATCATTCTGAATATTAGCCTCCTCCACAATTTGCTATAGTATGTCTAGATGTGACCCATTAAAATCTATTCAAATACAAAATGCACAGTAAACTGAGAATAAAAAACATCAGAAGAGATGCAAAAAAAATAGTTTAATGAAGTTCATTACATAATCAACAAAGAAAATGTTTGCACGTTCCTTAAATAAGATTAAAAGTTCAAGGAAAAACATCTGAAAAGAGTTCAAAAGGTTGCAGCACAATGCGATTTGGAAATTCGCAGAATAATTCAGCAACTTGCTTTTGTTTTGGTCTTGGTCATTTCTGTGCTTTGATGAGCTTTGCTGTGAGCGAATGAGTTATATCACAGAGCCTTGGTTATGTCTGACGGCTCAGGCACCTCAGTGATTTGCTTGTGTTTGAACATGAAATGCATCCACCTGCACCCAAATGCTTCTGCTGGATTATTCCAGAGATGCACCACACCAGTGAAGCACGTAAAATACAGACAGTTTTCAAACTGCTGCCAAGTCGTGAAATAAGTAATTAATTACTTCTTTTTTTTTTTTGGTGTATTAACATTATTAAATGTTTTCTGTTACCTTGATTGAACCTCAAAACAATTTTCAGCAAAATGGGGCAGTAGTTTCATTTCTAGTGCACAGAAATGTGAAGTAGTATCCTCAGTCCCAAACTGAAGCATCCTCCTTCAGGACTCCTGATCCATGTGCTGGACTGCACCAGATCCTGGATGCTTGGGTGTACAGGCAGGATTTAAATTTAAATTACTAGATTTTCAGTATGTTTAATATGTCCTTCAATTCTTTTCTAATAAATAGAGCCAAGGGCATAGTGATTCAGTTTCGTAATTAGATGATATAATTGTCTCATGAACTCTGTACAAATTACCTCTTCTCTGTATTGTTTTTGCAGTGTATTGTTTTTTCTTGAATAATATGGCACATAGCCAGTTTATATTGCAGTCAATAAATTAACCCAGTTTATAGCTTGATGGCCCACAAATGAATAACTGGCATCAACAAAATTACCCTTTTTAATACTGTCAGTACTCTTCATTTAGACCATTAATTTTTAATTATTAACACACTTCCTTAAAGGCATCCTTTTGCATTTTTTTTTTAACCAAGAGGTAACCACAGATGAATCACTTGCTCAGCTTTTAACAAATTTGTGACTCTAAGGTTGACACTAGAGTGTAATGATGTAAAGGAAATTGTATTTTATTGCATTTTAATTAATTAGGCCAACTTGTGCAGGCCTTTCTCCAGCAAAACTCCCACTGGAGTTTGGTCCTTCGTCGTTAGGCTTTATTTACTTCTTGAGCTTTAGACAGCAGGTTTCTGCTTTCCAAATAGAGGACTGATAAAATAATTTAATCCATTCGATGGTGTATTTTTGACATGCCAACTGACAGATACTGGGAAACATTGTAATGCTGAATACAATAAAGAATATATGTTGTTACTCCTTTTAGTGTAATTCTAGGTGTGATGGATTCTGCTTTTATGCAAGGAGTTGGGTGGGTTCAAGGCAGCTTGTGAGCCAGTCCCAGTTTCTGAAACCCCATGGGGTGGATGGCCATAGCCCCATGCCTGCTCTGGGGGTATGGCCCCAGGGCAGCGCTTCTTCCTCATGTGGAGGAAGAAGTCTGATCTGGAATAATGATCTGGGGGCCTTGTTGCCTCCTGGTCCCTGCCGCCGCGCTAGGGCGTGGGGACAGGGGTGCGTACCCTGCCTCCCAGGCTCCAGGGAGGTGGGTAGGTCCTTCTCCCCTCGCATTGCTCCCAGGCAATGGCACCCCCCTTGTCACTGCAGCTCTGGCTTGCTGCATCGACTTGCTGACTCCAGACTTGCATTTCTTCTGTTGACTTAAAAACAGTCATGGAGCCCTGAGTGAGGTTGTCCCCATCAGCCTACCCTTCCCCATCTGCTTAACAGTTCTCTCCAATTCTATCCTTAATCATAACAAAATGGTCAACATATTCTGCTTTTGCTGTAATAATTCTGGCTGTATCCAAAATGCCCAGATGACGTGAAGAATTCAGCCAAAATGCTCACATTTAACATCCAGCCAATCTTTTCTAGGGCTGGTCCTGCTCATTTGGTCCAATCCCACTAAATTCAGGGGTCTCCTTTTTCAGCTGAGGTTTAATTGCTTGCTTTTTAATTCTCTCTGTAGATTCATCCTACTCAGCTCTATGTTCCACAAGTCCAAATGCTGAGCTATGGTTAGCACATTTCTGTACAGAATATTTTTAACCTTCTAATAGCTACAGCTCACAATCATTAGTTACTCCTTTCTACGCTTATTAGAGGAAACACTTGTGGAAGATGTGTCACCTTCTGGACCTCAGAGGCACACATAGTTCTAAGCAGTCACTAGCAAAATATGTTTTTTTCCATTTCTTGCGAGCAGAAATTAAGTTAATTTGTTTGGAAAATCCCTGCTAAAGGAAATGTCATTCAACAATTCTATTGAAGCTATTGAAAGCAAAACCGAATAGATTTAAAAACTTAGAACAGGTCACAGACACAGTTTGTGAGGTGAGTAGTAACTATTCATGTAGGACTAAGAACTAGAATAAGAGTATAGCTTAAATTCTAGTTTTAGGCTGAATTACACGCCCCTCCAGTTCCATAAGTGAAATATCTTGGACCATATTCATGTTAGCCCTTACCTTTTCCAGTAGAAAAAGTTTAAAGCCTTAAACCCAAAGC